TTCAAAGAGTAACATCAAAGATCACCCTAACAAAAATTTTACCAGAATGTGGCAGAGACAGACGTGAGCAAATGCTTTTGGGAAAATGATGCCACTAGACTTGGTCAATACAGGGTTGCCCCAAACTTTCAACTTGTAAAAAAAAAAAAAAAAAAAGGGGGGGGGCTAGTATCTGCAAAGTGCAATAAAACAAGGTATGCCTGTGCTAGAACCCACCTTGGGGTGCAGTGCGTCTTCTGTTCATCCCTTTAGGGAATCAAGTAAACCCTCTCGAGCAGCAAATAAGAGAACGTTCCCTCTACTAACTTCCATTAACAACTCCCTACCCCTCCTTTCCACTTTGATCTGGGGGACATGCTTGCATGTAGGTCCTTGTATCTGTTCTCTGAGCCTCCTTCATGGGGGTATTGCTCTGGCTGGTGAGCCGTGTCTTCCACGTTATCTTTGGGGTCACTAATGCAGACTTCTGTCGATGAGATGAATTTTTAAATTCAAGAAATCAGGTGTTTGTTTCAAATTCCAGAAAGTCTTTTTTCAGTGCTCTATTTAGACATCCTTGCAAGTTCTTATGACTTGGATGTTAGCGTTCTCTTTGGATGCTTCCAATGGCTCAACTTTAGCTGCTGGCCACTGGTACCAGGGCTCCACCTGGGTCTCTTTTCTACTTCACACTGTCTTTGGTGTGTTCAGTAGTCACATCAAGTTGGTGGGGCCTTGTGGCAGGCACAGAAGTCTCTGCTCTTGGGGATCAAACTGGCAAACGCTAGCTGCACAAGGAGGGTCTTCCCCACTGTAAAGAAATCTTGACCACCCGCCAAAACTAGGACCAGCTCAGTGGCAGGGTGCCGCTCCCCGCCCTGGGTCTCTACAGCCCTTCTGCAAAGGGCTTCACACATCTCTTCTGGCTAAGCCCACACTGGGAGCCTCAGCATGCTGGTCTTCCCCCACCCCCCAACTCAGCTCCCAGCCAGCACCATCTGCCACAGGATCAGTACGCAGAGATCCCAGGTACTGCCAGCTTCCCATTGATGATAATGAGGATGCATATGCAAGTTTTCATACTTCCTCCTGTCCCCTTCTGAATCCCACAAGTTAAAATCATTTGAGGGGAAGCCCTTTTTCAGTTAATGGCAAGACTGGATATAACACATCAGCTTAAAAGAAACTACTTGCAGAGAACAGTTCAACATGCTTTCACAAAGATGCAGGTTTTTTCTTTCTGATCTAGTATTCCATTACTAAATCTCTAGCTCCAGGAAATAATTTTTAATCAAAAAAAGGTTTATGAAGACTTCATTATTTATAAAGTAAAAAATGGCAAACAACCTGATCGTCCATCCCTGGGAGAATGGCTAAGTAAATGAGGGACCCTCACCTGATGAAACAGGCATTCATGGCTTTGAAAATCATAACCTAGAAAAAGGCGTCAAGTCATCTCTGAAGTAGGTAAAGGGCACATGTTCGTGCGTACTGTATGCATCCAACTGTGGATCTACCATGTGCAAAGAGGAAATCGGCCCAAATGCTCCCCGTGGTTAGGTATGGGTAGCTTAAGGGGATTTTTTTCACCCTCTTCCCCCTTTGTTTTACTACTTCTCAAGTGTAGTAGGTAATAAAACGGCACTGAAAAGATTTTTTGTAAACCATGTATGCCACTAACAAGGCAAAGGACTGAGCATTGATAAAGCAATTGTGACATGTCAATGGCTTCTTGAGAAGCAGCTTGAAGTGCTCATTGACTGTTTTCTGGAGCTTTAAACTCCATCCAGCCCTCACTGGATCAATTACTGGCTCAGAGAAGTCTTTTGTGAGGCTGTTTCCCAGAGTCTCTCCCTGGCATGACAGAGGATACGGTAATAACTAAAACAAGGTCTGACCTTGGGCAAGGAGAAAGCCCAGGTCTCCCACACACCCCAGCTCAGTTCCCCAGAGACACCTCGTCACACCGTGGGGCGGAAACTCCAAATGGCACCTCTGAGTGCCTGAGAACCAGGGGACGGATGTGGAATTAAAGCTTAAAAACCATCCGCTGAAATGAGCTCAGACACCTTTTCTGCCAAAACTCCTTCAGAGAGCAGATCTGGGCGCGTTCACGTTCCCCTTGGCACCCTCCACCCTGCCCTCACTTCCTGCCGTGCTCCACGGGGTGGTCCCCACAGCCCCCTCCCAGGAGTCTTCCAGCATGGAGGAAGCTACATCTAGACAAATACATTTTCTTTTAAACATGTACTAAAAGTTTCTCTGCTGCTGGTGTTACCAAATTATTTATAATGTTTCCAAGTTGTTTACAAAGCTTTGTAGAGCAACGTCTAGACCGAGGCTGCCCCATCCCCGTCTCCATCTGAAACCAAGTTTATCACATCATTTTTCCATGAAATGTCTGCAGATGGGCTTTACATACACAGCAAGGAAATGCTGGTTGCCTTTCCCCAGGCAACAGAATCCCAGATCCTTCTGTGGCCCAGGGAGAAGTAAGCTTGACTAAGCCAGGGGTCTTCAAGCTTACTAATTCCATTTTATAGGTTTACCATTCTGCTAAATAAGCTGATCCCAGGGGTGCTTGGGTGGCCCAGTCAGTTAAGTGTTTGCTTTCAGCCTGGGTCACGATCCCGGGGGTCCTGAGATCAGGCCCCACATCAGGTTCCCTGCTCAGCGGGGAGTCTGCACTTCTCCCTCTGCCTTCCCCACTGTTCCTGCTCGTGGTCAGCCTCTCTCTCAAATAATATCTTAAATAAATAAATTGATCCCATATCTGGGAATCAATCCTAAGAAATTCTGAATTAAAGAAGGAAAATAGTAATCACGTGACAAATTTCACGAAAGCCTTATTTCTCAGTGGATTCCATAAATGCCCAACTGGGGGAATGGTGATTAATCTATGGTCAGTCCACTCGATGGAAAAACCTGTCCATCATTTAAGTGCAAATAAGATTAGGTTAACGGTATGAAAAGTGTTGATAATTTCACTAAGCAGTTCTCAACAAGGACAACTTTGCCAACCAGGGGACATGGAACAATGTCTGGAGATAGTTCGGTTGTTATACAAGGTACAGGGATGCTGCTCAACAGTCCAAATGCAGGGGGCAGCCCCCACCACAAAGGGTGATCTGGTCCCGAATGTGAAGAATACCAGAGTTTAAAAAAGAAACTGGACACAAGGATTTGTATTATTATTACACTTACATAAAAAAGGCACTGGCCTAGGAAGAGAAAATCAAACCAAATGCTTACTGGATCTGCTCGTCTATTCCCCCAAATTATAAGAGTGTAAAGTAGGCAAAATCTGGGTATTGTGTGTGTGTGTTCAGCCATTTATACAAAATAATGTATTCTGGCTTAGGTCTTTTTAATGGACTTAACTCAGTCTTACTGGTGATAAATCGACTTAAGAGCCATTTAATTAAGTCTTGGGCGTTCTCACCAAGGACTTGATGACTAACGGAGTTGTCCTTTCAGAACCAAATACTGCTATCACAGTAAGAATCAAGAAAGGTGATTTTTTTTTTTTTTTTATCCATCATTCAAGGTTCAAGTGACTATTCACTTCATATGGAAACATTTATTTTGAGTCTAAAGCCACGGATATGTCAAATTTATTTCAGAATGGAAAACTTCGCATTATCTATCGCCTTGTGTTTTCAAGACACAACTTTGTCATCAGGAGCCTATCTTATACCAACACAAGTGATACCTCTGGCTGTCACTGAGGGTCTTTGGCCACCAAAGAACTGTGCCTTTTAAGTGTTGCTTTCTGCTTTTACTGCTTTCTGTCTGTCCTTACCTTTGCACCCTCTTGCATTTCAATGTTAATAAAATGCTTTGAAGTGGAAAACTAGCAAGGTTGCAAAAACTGAATGTAAGGCAGACAGCTATGCAGAAAAGCCTAATGTTCTCTCCTCTGAGTCAAGTTCATGAATTTTTACTGCACGGACTATGGCTACAGCTGTTAAAAGGCATCTCTACCCCTGCCATCTCCCTTCCCCGTTAGATGGTTCTCAGCTCTATTCTGGAAGTTGCCAAATAAGCAACTTCCAAATCCCTGTGTAGTTCTTAGAGCCAAACAACAAGTGAGAGGCTGTGATTTCTCTACCCAGAGAACAACCGGGAAGTGAAAAGATGCATATCCAGGCACAATGACCAAGGCCACATCAGCCCACTAGGGTCCAGAACCATGGTTTTTCTAATTTAGCCAAAGAGAGGTGGGGTGACCACACACTCATCCAGCCCAGGCTGAGTTTTGGCTGAGTTTTGTGGTAGGGAAATGGAAAGATCTTAGAAGGGTGGATTGACCACATCATGAGGTCTTGCAAAAACACATGCCAAGTGGGTCCCATTCTGTGGGAGGGGCTGTCAGGAGGATTGTGCAGCTCCAAATTCACATATCCAGATAGTCTCCCACTGTCAACCCGAGACCTGAACTATCCCAGCTTGGTGCTGCGTTCATTGAGGCCAATCCCTCCCCCCTCCCACCCTCTCCAAACTGGTTAATCAAAGGAGAGACTATGTATCTTCAAGGTCTTGACAAAAGGACCAAGGTGGCAGTCCTCCAGGAGCAAAGAGAAGGACAAAAGTAGTGCCCATCCCTATGAACGTGCTTCCCCAGCACAGGCCACAACAAGACCTTGGTGGATGCTCTCAGCCCTTCTGAAGGGACTTCCAAGACCATTAGTGGGGGGAAAAGCACCCAGGAAAGATGAGCTTCTCTAAAAGAGCATTATCTTGCTTGACTCTGCTTGCTGAAATGAAACTATATGGAACTTCCCAAGAGCTTCAGCTTTCCAACTACATGACCAACTCAAAGAATCATATGGCATTCTCCAAGAAGGAAGGATGCTGGAAGGAAAAACCTGGGACTATGGAGGAATTCTTTTATGATGTGGCATGTCCCGCTAGTTATTTCCCAACGGGTTTAAGTCCATCAGCCAACCAAACCCATAGGCCATTTCCACCTCACCAGCGGACACAGCTCAGGGAACCCCAGCTGGCGTTTCTTCACTCACCAGGACTGGCTGCATCTCACAGAAAACCAGGAGGGAAGCCAGCTCAATGTCTTCACTGTATCCGTTCTTCAGTGGAACAGATCTGAATCCTGCAGCAGAGAATGGAAAAGCAATGCAAATACAGGCCATTAAGGTCAGACCTTAGCTTTCTTAGGGTACCCAGGGATCGTATGTCCAGTGCCAGGCGCAGGTAAGCTGGTGGCTGACTTTCTGGAAACCAGAGGTCCCTTCCTGATGGCTCGGAAGAGAGGCTCCAGAATGCAGCCCCAATGGATGGGCCCACACAGAGAAGTGCAAAGATCTCAGCCATGTAGAAATGAAAATCATCCACTTGAAAGAAAGAAAAATGTACAGAACGTCACACATTTAGAGGGACTGCAGCTATGGTTCAATTCCCTAAGTCCGCCAGAGGCCAAAAGACTCACAGGAGTAATGCACCCTTGTCTCCCCTCCTCTGTGTCCGCCTTTACGAAGGGTAGGATGCGGGGGGCGCTGTTTCATCCTGAAAGATTTCCAATAGGAGGAAATCTGTCCCTTGGCAGAGCATAGCAGTATTGATCCTCCTCTGAAAGCCTTTCTTTATAATTAGGACACTCATTTAAGTGTTTCTTCTTATTTAGGGGGGAGGGTTGAGGTAGAGCTGATTTCCCCTCATTAAGTAATGTTTAAGACAACACATCTCAAAAGTTGGTTGATTTGCTTGTGTTAATTTAGTCACAACAAATACATAGTCAAAGCTGAAGTCTCGTTCCTACCCACTATTAATCCCTTCTCCCAGAAGGAGCCACTTTCAACAGTATCTCCCCGAGATACTGTCTTGAGTTTCTTTTAAGTCACTAATGATAGTAATGTATGGTTTTCATTTAACATTGTATCTTGGAGATGATGTGGCCCTAGTTTGTCTCAAAAGCTTTTTATTAGCATTCTGTCTTCTGATTCTTCCAGACAAGCAATGCCTGAATTAGGGCACTCACACTGCACCCTCTGTGTCTTCCACCATCCAGGTTTTGGCTTGTCCTGTTATTCTTTCTTCTCTTGGAGAACCTTTAACAGTATCACTTGACTAATCCCGCTCTCCCTCCCCACTAGCTCAGGGGAGGAAGTTGATGTGCTTATTGCAAGCCCACACCTCCTCTTTCCTTCCTTCCCCTAATTTGGGTTAGCTGAATTATTGTCTCTACAAGATACTGCATGTAAATACTGTTGACCCTTGACCAAAACAAGTTCGAACTGTGCAGGTCCACTTTATACACAGATTGTTTTCCAATAAGTATGGTAATGTAAATGTATTAACGTATTCTCTCCTCTAGCCTTAAGAATACAGTATAAAACACAAAGTGTGTGTTAATAGACTGTTATAAGGCTTCTAGTCAGCAATAGGCTGTTAGTAAGTTTTGGGGGAGTCAAGAATCCTAGGTGGCTTTTGGACTGCTTGAGGGATGGACATCCCCAACCCCCACATTGTTGAGGGGTCAGCTCTATTGTGTTTAATTTTGTAACCATAATTCTTCCACAAAGGGAGACTTGGTTATAAAGTTTTCAAACATACAGCAAAGCTAAGGTAATATTACAAGGAACACCTGTATACCAGCCACCTAGATCCTACCATTAACCTTTTACTGTTTTTTTTTTTAATCACATTTATCCATTCCTCCATCTAGCATACAGGTGTATATATATTTCAAAGTGAGATGAATACATCTGTACACTTCCTCCTGTATACGTTGGCATGCATCTCATGAGCTGGAGCTCAATACTTGTTTTCAGTGTTCTTCCAATTGAAAATTTGTGCATTTCATTGTGTGTAAATTTCACATGTCCAGTGCTCACCACCTTTTTATTGGACTTCTCTATCAGTGTTTTCGTTGGCTAACCTTGTCCTCATTTTAATACCACCTCACGAGACATACCGTCCTCGAATGGCACATACTTGAACGCATCCATTCTTTGGTTTTACACTTGAGTGACAGTTTGGGGATAAAACTCTCAGGTCAAACCTTTCCCCGGAGCGTTTTGAGGACATGGCTGACCTACTCTTGCCTTCTAGGTGAGGTGATTTTTCTTGGCTCGTTTGCTGGTCTGGCTTTTTGCCTGGATACCTACAGCATTCCCACAGTCTAGTCCAGTGCTCCTCCAGCTTTAATGTTATGGGAATCTTATTAGAGTGCAGATTCTGCTTGGGGCATGGCGTGGGGCCTGAGATTCTACATCTCTAAGGGCTGGTCTGGGGACAGTGTAGAAGAAGTCCGTGTAGGTGTTGATTGACTTTTAGAATGTTCTAGACTGCTGAGTGCTCCATGGTATTGGGAAGGCTATCAGATGGCCCCTACACTCCAGTGACGTGGCAGTGCCCTTTTGCTTAGAACCAATACTCAGCAGGTGCCTCCAGATTTGGAGAAGTGAGCCCCACCCCCACATTCCTCCTTTCAATGGCCAGGTCTCATTTCATGAGCGGCCTTCACGCATCTTGGGGTTAGGGTGGAAGGGTGTTTTCCAGTTTCACCAGAAAGTTTGGTTCTGTGTTATCCTTGTTGATCTGGGTTGTGTCATAGACGAAAGGGAAATAGAGACCTCTTTTGAAGCACGGTCAGTATTTTGGCTTATTAGGAGTAGGGGATGCCTGCAAAGTAGGAAGAACGTGGAGTGTGCAGTGAGACATTCCTGGGTCTGCAGCCCAGCTATGGTACTACAGGTGTGTGACCTTGAGCAAGTTAATGAACATCTCTAGGCCCCAAAACGCTCATGTTTAAAAAGCAGAGATGATAAAACCTCTTTCACAGCACTGCTGCAAGGATTAAAGAGTTTAAGGCCCAAAACGCAATGAATGATGTTTTCCTTTCTTTCTGAGCTCCATCTGGCTCAAAAGCTTAAGTGCATCCCTAACGACAATGGGAAGAGTGTATTTGTGAGTTCAGAAGGGTCCCAATGCCTTACGCGAAATTTCACTCCTTCCCTGATTATGGATGTGCCAGGCCTTGCTGGAAATTGCACAGGAATGAGACAAGGTCCTTACCATTCTGACAGCTGGGGGAAGGGTCACATTTTTCATCATCTATGACATACTGTTATTTAAAAAAAAAAAAAAAAGATTTTATTGATAGGAGAGAGAGAGAGGAGAGGGAGCCCAACGCTGAGCTCGATCCCAGGACCCTGAGATCACGACCTGAGCCAGAGGCAGACGCTTAATTGACAGAGCCACCCAGGTGCTCCTGTTCTTTGTATTTTAAATCTCCAAGCTAATCCCTAGCATTTTCTAGATTAACGGACACAATTTGGCTGGCAAGATAAGGGAGGGTTCATCAACTCTGACCTCTCTCCCAGGCATTAGGAGCAACTACAAAGCTCACATCCCTTGTCCTTCAAGAGGACATGGTAACGAGGTCCTGACAGCAGAGCAGTGTGAGCCCAGGGGAGGTGGGGTAAGAAGACACAGTTAACATAGAGAGCAAGCTATCTTAAGCTTCGTTTGTCTGGTATTGTAAAAGGGCACATGACAGAATTGCAGCTTCGCCGCTGGGTTTAAAGTAGCTGATGGAGTCGGCAAGTTAACCAAGAGGGGTTGCCAAATATCAGACTGTGGGGACTTACACGTGAATACTATAGGAACAGCCGTCTTCATAATGTTCTCTATAAGTTCTTCATCTACTCCTGCACTTAGGAATTTATTTCCTGGATGGTAAGATGAGCAGCCCAGCTCAGTCCTCTCGAAGTGCCCGCTGAGGAGCTGGCGAAACCTGCACCTTCTTGCCAACCCCCGTCCCCAGGGGGAGCCGAGTGCCTAGGAACGGGCCCAGCGACCTGCATTTTCTAAGCACCTCGCTAGCTGGGCAGGTGCCAGAAACGATCACATTTAGGATACTAGGAAAGGTAGAAATTTAGGGAATATCTGATACGTTTCAAGTTTAGAAAAAAAACAAAGGAAACAAAACACAAGGTTTCCAAACAACATCAAGAAAAAAGCCTATATTGGTATATAAACCACTAAAATGAGTGATCTGTTTCTCTTGAAAAATGATCCTTGGGGAACAGTGACCTCATGAGGACTCCAGAAGGATCTATGATCTTATGGCTCATGCCTCAGAAATGCTAAGGAAAGGGGAAAAGACAATTCAGCATCCAGTGAGGGCCTGTTTGTCAAACGTGACACACACAATCCATCAGGAGAGTAAAAGCAGAGAAACTATACAAGATAAGGGTAGCCACATTTACAAAGCAGCATCAAGCTCAGGCGTCCCAAATCTCCTCCCTGGGCGGCGGCGGGGGGGTGGTCTATCTTACTGCATTGGAGGGGATGGGACTCAGTTTGTTTTTTTGCGTTTTTAAAGATTTTGAGAGAGCACGTGTGCACGCCAGAGCGAGCACAAGTGGGGTGAGAGGGAGAAGCAGGCTTGATCCCAGGACCCCGAGATCATGACCTGAGCCGAAGGTAGATGCTTAACTGACTGGAGCCACCCAGGCACTCACAACTGGAGATTTATCAACCATTCCAATTTTATGGAATAGGGAAAGTGAAGCTCTGTTGACATGGGAAGAGGCAGATCTGAGACTGCTCAGAGCCCTTTTCTTCCCACCCGGGCACAGTGCAGGCCCAGCAGAGTGGGAGATGCATACCGCAGCCGCTAGCCTTTCAAAATGAGACCTAACTACACTGCCAGGTGGACAAGCCACTAATCCAGCTTTGCACACACAGGCCTGACGCCTGCTCATGGTGACAACCTTATGTGATCAGCTGTCCAAGCCACCCAATCAATTTTGCAACAATTTAATAAAAACCAGGAAGAATGTGTCTTCATTTTTTCTAAAGCCAGCAGCACAGACCAAAAGTGATGCTGGCCCAAACAGAACATCTTAATTAAAACATCTTACCTGATTTGATTCCTTTGATGGGGTAAGTGGCGTGGGCAAGGAAGTTGGGATCACTGAACATATCTTCCTCATAGACCACAAAGCGCAGAAACGCCAGGTTGGGGTCATAAATTTCAAAGGTCACTTTGTCCTGTGTTGGAGCCCAAACAGGGCTTAGGCCATTGTCATCTGGAAGGAGATCGAGGCTCAGCAGAGGCTCCACTGGTCCTACCCCCTCCTGGTAAAACCACCTGTCTTATCCCTTGGCTTTTGGAATGTCCTTAGCAGCCCTATAAGTATGCATTGATGCCAAGATCTAAGAAATACTTATTTTTCCAGTAGCGGTCCTGGAAAAGCTGTTGTCACAGGTCTGGCCCTTAGTAAGCAGAGAAAATGCTACAGTTGCCATCTCGGCTCCCTGGGGTAGGGTAGGGCTGGGAGAGCCGGGAACGGGGAGGTTTGGAAGAGATCAGAGTGGGGAGCTATACCGCTCCTCTGGGCAGGGGAGGGGGTCTGGCTCTCTGAAGAGGTAGAATGGATGGGGTTCTGGGGTTGTTGAGGTGAACCAGCCTCATGGAGCAAGGGCAACAGCCGCCCCCACCCCCCGGCCCTGTGAAATGCCAGTTTCACTGGTACCAGGGGCAGTGGTCCCAGACCTTAAAACACTGACCATTTCTTCCTCGCTTCGGGGTCTCCCTCCCCTTGGAGGGATAAAATCACCCAGGTGAGGCAGCAGCCTGTGGGTCAGCCACACGCTCTGTGTCTCTGCTTCCTCGCCTTGGACACAGTAGATAAAGCTGGGGGGGGGGGGGTGGGCCCAAAAGGGCCCCCCCCCCCCGGCTTCCTAGCACAGGGGGCTGGCCCAGGACTCCCGACGTGAGTGACAGCAAAGAGCAGCACTGGGTACCCGTCCAACTAGTTAATCGTGGGGTCTTGTGTTTCCCCTCTCCCCGAGCTGAACTGTAGCAGGCATGAGGGATGAAGGAAAAGCTCCAGACAATAAAAGTACACAGAATCCCCCACCAGATGCAACTTACTCACAACTGTTGTCTTAAACTTGTTGTTGTCATATTCAGCTCCACAAATTTCCACCTCCACAAAGGGACACGCAATACTTCGTCCAAGTTTGGGGAGATGGCGAGCCCCGAGAACCTAGGACACCAAAGGTAAGTACTGGAATTCTCTCCAGTGCAGCTTAGAGCTCAGTCTGGGTGCTGGAGTCAGACCACAGGAGGTCCAAGTCGGCCTGACAACCCTCTGTGGGGACCACCCAACTGCTTCCCTTTTAGGGATGGGGAAACAGGGCTGGAGAAGCCAGGATCGGAACCCTGATGCCATCTCACACCCATAGACCTCCCCTGAGCACAGACATGCGCACCCCTGTGCCCACAGACAACCTCCAGAGACAGCCCAGGAAAGGACAGAGGAGAAAGTGGTTTTTTAAAAAAAGACTTTTCATTACACAAGCTGCATTTTTTTTCTTCCTCATATGAGAAATGCAATTCAAATCTCTACCTTGCATAGTTTCCAAAAGAGGAGAAAGCCGAACTCTTAGAAAGAGACGATACATTGTCTGAAAGTTGGATGCATTTTTAACAATTTTCGCCCCCTAAAACTGGCCACCCTGGGGTGCCCTGTAATTCAGATCCTGAAACAGTGACTGGGTGTTGATGGTTTCAACAAGCTGACACGTGTCATGAGGTGAAGGCCTGAGTTACCTTGACAGACAGAGTCATCAGGATCTTCCTCTGGGACTCTGGTGGCATGGGGTCGTACTTCTCGGACCTCATGCTCTCAGGCTGGAGGACGTAGCCCGTCTGCCCGTTGAGTGAGAACAAGGCATGATTCATCTGCATGTACTTGTCTGGGAAGGAAAGGGAACTGTAGCTGTAAGAAAACGTAGCCTCTTGGGCCGGTGGTGCTAGGTAAGGGGGTGATTTAAACCTGTTTCCAAAAATAATTTCAGGCAGTTGTTAAATTATGCGTTTCAAAAAAAATCCCAACTGGTGAACACCATTCTAAGTATGACACTAAAACCTACTCAATGCTCAAAATTTCTTAAATTTTTTTTCTGAGTTAATTTTAAAATTTCACTTAAGATAGGCTGCACACACACAAAAATCATTTTAACTCAAATGACAGGGGAAGATCCGCAAACGAAAGCGTTCTGATGATGTTGCTATAAATACCTCCACTCCGTTAGCGAGATGCGCTAGGAAGCACGAACAGTTTGCAGAAAAAATGCTTCCCAAATACATGGAAAACTGGTTCACTTTACTCCCCATAAGGGAAGTCACTGCTGGAAAGGTATATTCGAACGTTTTCCCACTTCGCATTCCCACCCAGGGTCTCTCTGGAGGGCAGTCTGGGGAGGCCTCGGAGCTCAGGCACAACAGGTGCAGGTGTCCAGTGGGTCACCGCAGGAAAGTGGGCCCAAATGCCAACGCGGTGGGACCGAAGCTGCACTCTGAGCTCTCGGTCCTGCCGCTGGCCTCCCCCGTGTGTGCAGCGATGCTCATGTAAGCTTGCAGAGGGCAGGGCCGTCCTTAAGAGCAAATGAGAGAAGCGCCTTGGTGGGGGAGACCTGTTAAATAGATTAGGGTTCCATTCAGTGGAATCCTGCACAGACGTTAAAATGATACAAAGGAGACTACTGATGCGTAGACCCATCAACCAAAGAGCACAACGCTGAGATTTATGCTGCTACCACCACTGGTGTCAAAAAGTTTTGCGTGTGGGCTTTTCTCAGCAGTGAACATCTCTGCAAGAGTCTGTGCATGAAGCCCTCCAAGAAGGATTGGGCCAGGAGAAGAGCTCCCTGAAGACGGCCACCGAACACCTGGATCCAGCTATGCCTAAAGCTCGGTGCCAACTCCTGGGCTTTTTCATTACATGAGCTCAAGTGCTTCCTTTCTCCCTTAAGCCACCCTGCAACGTGTCGGTCACCTGCCATCTCAGAGCCTGCCAGATACAAATGCCCCATGTCCCATCACTCCATTCAACGGCTGGGCCTCATACCAGCATGCTGGGTGAAACCTGACGGCTTCTGGAACAGCCGGTCACACTGGTGGCCCCAGCAGACTGGGCCTGGAGCGATGCCACCATCAGTGCTCCTGTACCTGGAGTCTGGAAATTGAGTGCCACCATCTGGGAGCCGCACAGCCAGAGGCGAAAGGGGTCGTAGTTGGAGGAGTCCACCCTCTGTCCCTTTGGGTAAACACGGGTCAGGCCCTTCTGATTGTATTTCAGGAGGTCGATGGGTTTCTGCCTGACGACACCGTCCGCCTTGGTCTCCACAAAGGAGCGGATTTCTCGGAAGTCGGGGTTTTCTGCACAAAGAGAGGGAGACGCCATTTACTCCATCTGATGCATTTTCGTAACGCTTGCTGCCCCCGCTGGATGCGCAGGTGGTCAGCTGAAATCAGGAACCTCAGAGCCAAGACAGCCCAGTGGTTAGGATGCTCTTGCCACAACCAGTACTGCTCTGGACCCTTGCCCTCCGAGGATCCCAGTGTGCCCACAGGCTTTCACTCTGGGATCAGTGTAATTTACTTCTTGTTTAAAACCACCACCAGGCTTGTGCCCCAAAACACCAGAGTGGTACAGTTACAGAAGGGGACACGGTGGGATGGCCGGAGGGATCAGCAGGAGGAGATCTTAGGATCTGGTTTCCTCCTCAAAGACACTGTGCAGAAGATGGGTGAACCAGGCACCACGGCGGAGGAAGAGTCCACTGCCTGCAGGTAGGGGTGGGATCAGAGGGGGTACAACAACGTGCACCTGTGGCGGGCGGCCCCTAACCCTGCTGAGTCCGGTTCTGAGGGACCCGCTGCCCAGTGCCTGGTAACTAGGCTTCAGTGCTGTTTCTCTGGTCCTCCGTCCTGGAATCAGTGATGCTTGAGATCAAACAAAGGGGGAGGAAAAGATGAACAGGATCTCATTAGGGCAGAGAACTTGCTCCTTTGGAGATTGGAGAAGATTCATTTTTGAATCCTTCTCTGGCACGATCCATGGCCCCCAGAGCCTCGAGGTCCTGCTTCCTGGAGCCTGTGACTGTAACTCATCTGGCAAAGGGACTTTGCGGATCGGATTAAATTAAGGAGCCTGAAAGGGGGAGATTATCGGGGACCTAAAGGTAGGGTCTGTGTATTAGGGAGAGGGAGATATGACCACAGGCCAGGGGATGCCAGTAGCCACTAGAAGAGGCAAGGCCCGGATTCTCCCCTCGAGCTTCTGGCCGGAGCAGGATCCTGCCAGCACCTGGACTGCAGCCCTGTTGACACTGAAGTTGGATTTCTGGCCGCCAGGACTGCAAGTGAGCAAACGGGGGGTGGTTTTCCCATCAAGCTTGCTGTAACTCAGAGCATCAAGGGGAGACTAACGTGCCTTCTGGGAGTCTTCCTCCTGAAGACCCCAGAAGGGCCCGTTTCAGCTGCACACTTGCCCTGACGACAAACTCCACTTAGAGCCATGGAGAAGGAACAGGAGTCTCTCTCACTTTGCCCTGTGACAGCCCCTGACTCCAAAGGAAACCAGGCTTTGCAGGGAAGGTTTGGGGCAGAGCCCAGGGAGACCATACCTAGATTATCCTTGGTCTTGCTGGTCGGCTTGCAGTAGACTACCAGGTCCGAGAGCTCAATGGCGATGGACTGGTTCTTCTCCCAGTACTTCATGTTGTTCTCCTGTTGGAGCCAGCCCCCAGCGTCAGCCCTGAAGCTGGGCTGCATTTTCCTCCCCGGGACCCCGTCTCCCCCCACCCCCTTTTGGCCTCCTGCAGGCTGAGATCCTTAATACAGCTGGAAGTGTTCCTTTGCCCTACCCCTCCTCTCCTTCCTTCCGAAATTCCTACGTCGTTTCCACCCAGAACTGGGGGCTAGCTGGGTCCCTGGGCACAGCTCCCAAGAACAGCAGTGGGGGCGAGGGTCCCCTGTGTCAGCACCCCACTCTCCTCAACCCTCTGCTCTGAGACTCCTGCCCCATCCATTCCCCTAAAACCATATTGTTAGAGTTCTCAAAGCCCACGACCTCCCGGCCTCGTGGGCGCTGCACATCCTGGTTTGAGCCCCCGCGTTGCTGCAGGGTACCTCTGCCCTCACCCATCACAGCTTGTGACAAAAGCTCTCCAGGCCCCCAGCCCCATGCCATTTCCCCTTGGAGGACACACTATGCAATCGATCTCCATCTGTGTAAGGATGAGTGCTTGCTTCCCCCTAAACCAGACCACCTTCTCAGGTTTCCCCAAATTCTGACTCTTTCTTCCTCTGGCCAAGGGGGAGCCTGGAGAGAAAATTATGTGCAAATGATACCCTTCACCATTTATAGGGCTGCTTAGCCTCAGGCCTCACACGCTAAGTGTGTGATGGGTATTACATAGGGAAGCCCCCATCTCCCCTGAGAGGGAGAATTTGTGCCCATTTTGCAAAGAAACTGCAGTACACAAAGGCTGAGCAGCGTATCCATGCTCCACAGCAAGCCAGGGATGAGACCAGATGCTTCTGCACTGGACCTCACCCGTGTTAGCACCTTGCTTTGTCCTTTATACATCATCTCCTGGAGAAGATTCTTCTAAAATCCCAAGATCACATCCTGGGTCCCTCTGAACCACAGCAATGACCTCCTACTCTCACACTGTACACACACCCCAAAATCATCCTTCCTCTGCCAGTCCATGAGCTCACTCCTGCTTCTGGGCTCTACCCAAATCATTCCTGCTCCAGGAAGCCTTCCTGGTTAACTCCAGCCAGGACTAGGAAAGGAATGGGGCCATGCACCACTTATGCCTAAAGCTGTCCCCAGGGAGCCATGTGCCGGTAGCAAGTGTTCAGGGGACAGCTGATGACTAGGTGAGAGAGGCTTCCTAACACCTGGTTAGGACAGCAGGAACTCGAATCAGACATGGGTTCAAATGCTGACCTCTGTTTACTGGCTGTGCCCACTGGCCATATTGAATAATCTCTCTGTGCCTCAGAAAATGAGGCTAACTGGAGTACCCCCCTCCGAGGGCCACTGAGATGTAAGCAGGGAGCCAGCAGTGAGCTGGGTGTTCCTCGTGTTGGTGTCCTCAGGACTGGGGGGCGGGGAGAGGGGCTCTTCCCTGTTCCCACACCAGCTCCTCATACAGCCAGTGCTGCCCAGGGGCAGGATTCGGAATTGGGTGGGTTCGGTGGACTGGTGTTTTCTTCACCTTCACGTGTAATGAGAGTTCGCAGATGTAAAAACCGATTAAAGGAGGAATGTAGATCAGAAGCAGAATCCCTGAAGAGCCAGGCTTGATTTCAGAACCCTTCCTGCGGGGGTGGAGAGCCTTCCAGCGAAGTTGCATTTCTCGCTGGTAAGAGCAGTGGTAAGTGCTATGCAGGGTCAGACAGGCCCCTAATAATCACTCTACCCTGAGCCTCCTGGAGAGTCAAACTAGCCGTAGCCTGCCAGGGGACCGCCAGGGTCCCTTTCCACTCCATGACCGGCACACCTGTGGCCCAACCCCAGTCCATGTCTACCCTGTCCTCCGGAGCCCGGACCCCAGCCCCCCACCTCTGCAGCGTGAGCCCAGCTGAGCCAAGTGCCCACCTTGGTGTCCATCTTCCAGGTGATCTCCCGGATGCTCTGAAACCACTCGAAGAGCTCTTCCACCTTGTCCGTGGCAAACTCCACTGGGGGGTCGCCCGGCTTCTTGGGCTCCAGGATAAACACAAACGGCTTCTGGTTTTTCCCCTGGGGGGCTTTCACTTTGTGAGGGAGAACAGTGAAAATCCTCAGTGGCCTGGATGGGAAGGCCAGACTTCACGCTGCCCGAGCCACGTGCTGCACAAACCCAACCCAAGTATAGCAGCTACAGGCCTGGTCCGTGGGGACAGGGGCGTCTGCCTTGTGGCAGGCAGGGTCTGGCCTCTCCCCTACATCACAGCCCGAGAGCGGGCCGAGTCGTGTTCCCTAGAAGTTCTGTCTGCGGCCTAACGGCCGTACCTCTACAAATGACCTTACTTGGAAAGAGGATCCTTGCAGATGTCCTTAAGGATCTTGAGAAGAGATCCTTCTGGATTTAGGATTTCCCAATCCAGAGAAAGAGAGGGAAATTTGAGACACAGACACAAGAAAGACGGCCCCCAAAGACAGAGGGAGACATAGGAGCGTTGGAACCACAAGCCCAGGAGCGCCAAGGATCTCCAGTGCCCACCAGAAGCTAGGAGACAGGCAGGCGATAGATTCTCTCTGCAGAGAAATTGTTTTCTAGAAAGAAGGCCATGTGAGGAGAAATTATGTGCTCAGTAATATCATCGGCTAAGATCTCTGAGCTCTTGTAGGCCAGGCGGTATTTTAAGCAGATTACATGCACCGGATCTCATTTAACCCCTATCACAACCTTTTAGGGGTACTAATCGTTTTATATGCGTGTTACAGGTGAGGCAACAGACTCTGACGGCAGTCCCCTCCCTGCCTGGGGCGCTTCCAATGCCCAGCGGTAGGGGACGTGGGTGGGAATCCATCCTCCGCCCGTAGGTGTACGTACCGACGTTATAGGTGTTGAGATCCAATATTCCCCTACAAAGAGACCCTAAGGGATTGTCTTCAATAATCTGTGAAGAAACAAGACATAACTCACGTTAGTCTTAACGGGAAGAATAAAAGGACAACCAGTTTTCCAGGGCACACCGTTTAGCAGAGAGACAGCCTGTGGAGCTGTTTAAAATGCATTTTCATTACAGGATACATCCGTGGGGAGAGTGCTCAATAATGAAGCGTGTTGCCGATGGGGACCCAGCGGCAAGGAGGTGCCCGCAGGTTCAGCGGTTCGTTTTCCAGTCTGTAAAAACGAGCCCTGTGAATTCTAGAACAGGTTCTGAAACACTTCCCATGGATCTGGTTTCAAAAAATAGCTTCAACCTTCATTCTGACATTATTATGAAAGGGGGCCAGCTAGCCTCCTGAAGCCCAGCTCAAGAACCTTCTGCAGCAAACCCAGGTCCTAGGGGCATGATGCCCATGCTCTTGGGATCGGCCCTGGTCAGCCTTACCGCTGCATCTGCCAGTGCACGTTTGATGCATCCCAGGGCCCGGGTGCAACAGAGAAGATCTTGCTCTCTGCATAGCTGGCAGAACCACATCTGCTCATTGCGTGGACTACCCCACCCCGACCCCTCCACCAGGGAAATGCTGACTGGGGAGGGGGTTGAGGCGTCGCATCCCTGCCTCTGGCCCAGCATGCTGAACACAGCCACGGTCCCAGCACCACACCTTTGTTTAGGCTGCACCTCCCACTGGAATTCCCTTCTGCCAGCCTTGCTGGTGATCTCTAACTTGACTTCTAAGGCTCAGATGTGCATTACTCCATGCAGTCTTCCCAGATTGCCCCAACTCCCTTAGGAAATTCCTTGGGCTCGAAAAGGCCTTAGAGTCCTCGTTAGAGAGAGTCCATCCTTGGTGCAGGGGGTCACCTACCCGCGGGTGCTCTCTGGGCCTTCTGGGCAAGAGGCAGTTAGGGGACTGAAACCATGTTTGCAATGTCACCAGGAGGGCTGGATTCGCCTCCACTTAGGCCCGCCCTGCTTACTCACACCAAGCACGTTCGGGAATGTCTGGCGGCCACACAATGTGTTTCATGTGCAAGCTGCTTTAAGCAAAGGACAGATTCCCCATTTGGCCATTTTCACTCCAGAGGGAATTCTCCTGCCTACGCAAAGCCTTCCAGCCCAGCACAACCTGATTAAAACATGATGGGCTTGTCACCGTGACCTTCACCCACAACTGGGGGGACAATCCCAATTTCCCTGTCACCCTGGTGTCCCTGTTCCGCTGCTCCACAGGGACCCCACGGCAGCAGCATGTGCGACATAGGCCTGCGGAGACAGCTCAGCAGATTCCTTGAAGAACAGGACGGGCAGGTCTCCCCATGCGGTGACCCGGACTCACCTGCTTCTCCAGCACCTCCACGTCGACTGTTGAAATATCCTCGACATAATTGGACGGGAAGTACTGCTGGATTCTGGTCCCATAGTCTCCTTTCCACCTAGATGAAAACAGAGGGCATCCAAAGGCCTTCGTGGGGCCGCGTTACGGATCCCTCACCGCTGGTTAGATCCCAGCCGCTGCGGTTGGGGGTGGGGGGAGGCAGCAAGCGGCCAAGGGACCAGAGGGGGTGATCATTATCTGTGACAACCGAGCACTTCAAAGGATCCTCTGCTTTTTTTAATCAGCAATGCGTGAGTAGAGTGTTGGTGTCCTCCCCATAACACAATTCTAATGTTTGGTCAAGTACATCAAGAATTTTAATGCTTTAGGTAGACATCGGAGGCCACCTGAGGCAAAAGCTCAAGTCTAGAGCAAGCTCAACCCCATTTCAAGAAGCTTGAACTTAGAGATAAAGAAGGTTCTGGAGCTAGACAGCCTGGAATCAAATTCCAGCTCCACCACCAACTGTAAAATGGGAATAATCCCAGTGCCTCCCTCAGAGGATTGTATTGGGACCAGAGGATTCTGCATATGCTGAGTGTTTTGAACAGTGCCCAGTATACAGTAAGTGCTCAAACAATGTTAGTTCTTGTTACTCAGCTAAAATACCGCTCCCCTTGATCTTCTTCTCTTCCCTGTGACAGTACTGATAACAAGAAACATAACTGATCTATGTACGTGTCTCAACTCCACCAAACTGTGGTCACCTCTAAGGTTCTCCCCCCAAGCAGTGCCCAGGCATACGGGGCCACTCCCTCCAACTGCCCCCCCGCCGTGGGTACCGTCTACAGCCAGGGGGCTCTTTCTCCAGAAAGTATCTCTGACCACGCCACACCCATAGCTGCCAAAGTCTTCAGAATCAAGCGTAGATGCTTTAGCCTGACCCCATGGACTCTTGGACCTTAACACCTGCCTCTCTGTGACTCAAACTTGACCTTCCTCCTAGACAGCCTGTTGCCCCCACCCTTCTGCCCCTGCCGTGCTGCCTAGCTTCCATGCCTTTGTATCTCGCTTGTCCCTACTAACCAGCTGAGACTCAGCTCAGGCATGCCTCTTCCAGGGAGTCCTCCCTGACTGCTACCTAGGCCAAGTGTTCCTCCTCTATGCTCCCGTGGCATCTGTCCCCACAACTGGGGAGGCAGTCTGTGCCTTTTATATAACTTCTACGTCCGTCTTCCCCACTATGTGAGACCGTTTCTTGATCTTAACCGAATCAGTACTCAGGGGTGGTGGGAAGCACTTACTAAACGTTTGCTGACCTGAGTAAGCAGAGTGAGGACCGACTGCCCTGTGGCCTGGTGGAAAGAGGACTGCCAGACACCCTCATCCCATCCGTTTCTCCAGACCCCTTTCACGCAAACACTGGCTATATCCATGCTGACCATATGTACCGTTTGCCCAGAATTAAGTTCATACCTGTTGTCCAGGTGTAATTATTGACAATAACATTCCTTTTGCTCTAAAATGCATCCCAGTTTGGGCAATACCAATTCAGTCCCCTAGCCATATGGGCAGTAGGTTGGGAGGACGCACAAAAAGGTGGACGATGCTCCACTAGATGGTGCTGTTGCCCCCAGAGCGAAAGAAACCAGGGGACCTCGGCAGGCAGTTCACCCACAGCCCCTCACCAAAGGCACTTACACCAGACTCTCAGCTCATCTCACGAGCCCTGGAAATTTAGAGCACCCCACTTCAGACGTGTGGAAAGGCAGGAGGCAGTTCCACACATGGAAAAGTGTGTGCTTTAAAGAGGTCTACCCACAACTTGTCACCCAAACACAAAGGTCTACCCAAAAAGTCACCCACACACCCAGAACTGGGGCCTCGACAGAGGCAGGGTACAGGGCGGGTGGGTCCAGGGGAGACCCGGATCCTGGCCGTGCCCCTCAGGGAGAGACAGGTGGACGACAACACAGTTGGCATGCGGAGGCTGGGAGCCTACAAGCAGGAGCTCCAGGCCCCCACCCCCAGCTTCAGCACATCACTCTGTTGTTACTTATTCTCTTTTGACTCTGGGGACCCAGGTAAAATTTGGATTAGAACAAGGGCATTCTCAAAAAAAAAAAAAAAAAAAATGAACAAACAAAAAACTTTGAAACCCCTGACCCTAGTACATAAATCAAGTTAGGAGTATGGGCTTTGGAGTCAGAAGGCCTGGCTTCGAGTCCCAGCCTGCTGGATGGCCCTGGCGAAGCTACTGTACCTGTCTGTGCCTCAAGTTTCCTCATCTGTAAAATGCAGGTAACCTTTCAGGGTCACTGTGTGGGTTTAAGTAAGTTCTTTCAGATGAAGTTTTTAAAATAGTTCTTGACACAAAGAGGCCCTCAATTCAAGCCGCCATTCAGATCTCTAATTCAGGCCCCACTGTCTTACGGGAAAAAGGGATGCCACACTTGCAAGGTGCTTCTTGCTCTATGGTAAGAAATAATCCTACAAGATCACCTACCCGGGGACTTATGGATGGGCAGCGAAACTTTTTCCCAGGTGGAGAGGGAGAAGAGGTAGCTGAACCCTGGCACACACCCAGGGAGCTCTGGCCTAAAAATGTCCCTGCTTCCATCCAGGGTAGGGCCACTGCACAGGACCAAGCAATAGCTTAAGAATTTGAATTTACAGCAACACACAGGCTCACATAATGGGAAGAGTCTGCACTAGTTCATAGCTATACAACCTTAGAAAGCCCCATTTGCCACCTCTGTAAAGTGGGGGTACCCACAGTCAACCCCGAGGGTCATACCGAGAATCTGGAGAGACCACATATGAACATATGAAAGCAATTAGCACGGCCCTCGGCACCAGGGAAGGCCTAAGTGGTAATTTCTGCTATAACTAAAATGATACGTAATATGATGCAATAGATGGTTCTCAACACTTCTGAATGGAGCAGGTCTTAAGCCACCTTCCCAGAGAAGGCACAAAGGTCAAAGCCAGCCCAGAACGGCAGACAAAGGGGGTCCAGAGCTCAGCCAGCACCTGAACCTCGCCCGCAAGAAGGGATAGGTCAAGTTCATCCAGCAAGCGGCCCAGCCCCCCTCAGCCTTACCAGCCCCAGGGCTCCTTGGAGACGTTGTGAATGAGGGCCCCACGGCAGAAGCTCAGCTCATCGCTTCGCTTGGCTTTGTAGTCATACAGAGCTTTCACGGTTCTCTGAGGCTTTCAGGGAAAAGAAGGAGGAGAACGTTAGGCTGGGAGACAGAAGCGGAGAGACATCTGCCTTGGTTCTCGTTAGGAAACAGGATGCTTCAGCCCAAGGTTACAGCGCCATCTGCTGGTAGAGGGCGGGCACTGCATTGCAAAAGAGCTGCCAAACTCACCAGGGAGAGGGGTTGCGGACTGGCCCAAGGTCAACCAGCTGTTAAGTGGCTGAGCTCAGAAATCAATCAGTTAATGTGAGTTATTGCCATAGTTCATGATGTCCTGTAAGAAGCAATGTGGGTTCTAGAAGCTCTGCCATAAGAACTTCCAACCAGAGGTTCCAACCAGAGCTGGTTTTACCTGTGCATCTCCCTTCAAGGGTGGATACATCTTGCCCCCATGAACTTCACGGGTCACTGCCAGGCTCCAGGGCTGCAAGGTACAGCCAGTGGCAAAGGGAGGTGCCATATAATGGCTTCCATGAGGAGCAAGTCTCCAGCCTGACAGAGGGCAGGAGAGGTCCTAATGTCAGGTCCTTCGTTAACTAGAGAAATGACCCGTCCATCGGATGCCGAGGGTGGCAGGCGGCACAACAAAGTGACGAACAGCACATGCCTCCAAGCCAGATGGCTCGGGTGCAAGTTCCAGCTCCATACCTTCCTGGCTGTGCGGTGGGCATAGAAACAGCACACCACACATGGGGCTGCTGAGCATTAGTGAACTATCAAGTGCTTAGGACAATGCTTGTTATGTGGTCATCCATATGTCCCATTAGGGCTGATCTAGTCATTCCAGTTCCAAGAACGCATCCAAAGGAAATAATGCAGAAGATGCCCAATGCCTCACATGTGAAGTTCATTTTAATGTTAACCAGAACAGCAAAGACTAGAAATGACCCACATGGCCACTGACGGGATGCAGCTAACCTGGCACAGCCACCCAGAATATTCTGCAACATTAAAAACATTCTTTTTTTAAAAGTTAAAGTTGCAGTCCATGTGTTTCACCTAAATTACTTGGCTCACCAGTTTTAGTAAGAATGGTCATGAAGAAAATGAGCAATGGAGAAACCCACACAGGACCAAGGGGCAGGTGAACAGAATACAAATGGCAGGTGTGCGTGGGGTGGGGGGGGTAGGGGGGCTGCAAAATGCGTCTCCGTGCAGGCAAAGGCCCAGGAACAGGAACGCGGACGGGGAGTGAGTTCGCATGGTGAGACCAGGGCTAATTATTGGTCTTGTTTTCAAACTGGTGTTTTTTATTGTTGAACCATTTTCAATCACAGTAACAGCAATGATTTTATTTGTGAGGCACTCCCCCCCTAGTCTGGCAGCTTGTGATCACGTTCAGCCACCATCGTGTTTCACTTGTCTCGGTACAGGAAGATTTTCTCTACAACTTGGGTTGGTTGCCAGGATTTAAAAATGGGGAGAATTCACGTAAAATATCCAGATTATTGGCTTGCAAAACCAGGAGACCTGGCCTGCTCTCTGGAAAGGTAGCAACTGAGTGCAAACAGGGCATAAGCTGCCCTCAAGATGAGGTGTGAGTTCCTCAGTTTACCACAGTGTCCACCATCCCCTGACATCCGGCTGACAGGTGGCCATGTCATCCTCACTACCGACACCTTCTTCACTTCTAATAAAAGTTCCCTAATAATTTTGCACACTCTCTCCCCTTGCCCACATCCTTCCAAGCCTTCATTTCTTGCTGGAAGGGATTTGCATTGGCTGAGGATTATAAATCTAAAAGAAGAGAAGAAATTCATCTCTGATTTCCACAGAGCCCGTCAGCAGGGCCCCTTCCTTAGCAAGAATTATACGTGAACTGTGTGCCAGGTGCAACCCCCCCTGCCGACCCAACAGAAAATTTGCCATTGTTCTTCCTCTGCAGGTTCAAGCAACGTGTGAGCTGGAACCAGAGCGAGGAGGAGCTGGGGGCGAAAATTTAAAACCCACCCCCACCTGCATGAAATCACACCACCAGCCGGGGTGGGAACGGGATAAGGTGTACACTGCAAAGAGGTCAGTGAACCAAACGGAATTTGTAAACAGCACGGGCTCAGTCAGTGAGCAAGAAACATCTGAAAGACTTTTAATTAGAAGCCATTTGGCCCAAAGGTGGTTCATCAAACCTCAGAATTTTAGCAAGGCACCGTCGCTTTTAGGTGAAATTCTATTAACCTCTTCCCTGAAACCCGATGTCTCATTGTCAGTCATCGTTTTTTCTCAAAAAAATAAAATCAACTGGGAGGGGGCAAGTCTGCCCAAAAGTTCCCCTGCCCTGCTAGGCGGGGGGGCGTGGGGTGGACTCTGCCTCATTCTAGGGACTGGGTCGTGGTGTGAATGGGAGAGCCAGCACCGTACCATGGAAGGGTTGATTTCACTGGGATCCACATACATTCTGCTGACGTCATACAGGGAGTTTATGTCTCTTTCCTGAAAAAGAACAAAGCGAAATGAATGGAAGCATCCAAGTTCCTGGGGCAGCCTGACAGAGAGCAAGGGTTCTCGGCCACCCCCGGGCCGAAGAGGTGAAACCTCCCAGTTTTGTCGTGCCTCCTGGTAGAGACGGTAAAAAGCCGTTAAAAAGCTCCCCCCAAATTGGAAACCGCACCCCTAAAGGAGACAGGCCCCTGTGCTGGCCTACTCTGTGCCACGCACTGCGGTCCTTTGTGAAAACCCAAGCCCGGGGAGCAGCGCCTGTGGGAGCCCCCCGCTCGTGCCGTATGCCTCTCCCTGACCCACGTTCCACGTCCACGGTGGGACACGGGCCACCCCCTCCAAGGATCTGCACCATGGAAACTGGCAAATGCCATAAACCTGGACACGCTTCACGTTTACCAGCTCACACTAAGACCCACGCTGCCCTCTCTGTCTGCACTGTCCCTGTCTCTCCGAGTCTCCTCTGGGCTTGTGCCACAGCCGCTCCCTGACCTAGAATCGGCTTTCCCCACAGCTGCTCACACCCCACTGGTCCCTGCTGTCAGGCCTGGGCTCCCGTGTTCCCCCTCTTCAGACCTTCTCCGACAGCTCCTAAGCTGCAGTCCCAAGCAGCACCCACCCTTGTTCTGTTGGCTTCTCTGTCATCCTCACTGCCCGGGACAGCTTCTTCATGTGACTGCAAGCTGTCTAGCTCCCCCGTCCAGAGCCGAAATGTCCCAAGGCAGGCTTTGGTCCACCACACTGCCAGGAGCCACAGTCATTCCTGGCCCATGGCTGGTGTATCCTGAATCTCTTTTCAATACATCAATGAACCGGGACGCCTGGGTGGCTCAGCCAGTTAAGCGTCTGGCTTCGGCTCAGGTCATGATCCCAGGGTCCTGGGATCGAGTCCCGCATCGGGCCCTCTGCTCAGTGGGGTGTCTGCTTCTCCCTCTGCCTGCTGCTCCCCCTGCTTGTGTTCTCTTGCTCATTCTCTTGCTGTCTCTCAAATAAATAAGTGAAATATTAAAAAAAAAATACATCAACGAACCCATGTGACAGGGGCAGAGATAAGGTCTGTTCTCCGCTCAGAACCATCCAGTAGCTCAGAATAAAAGCCAGTGTCTCCCAGGGGCCTGCCCCGCACAAAGCAGTCCTTACTTACGTCTACCCCAACTCTGGCTCACTCAGTGCCGGCCACACCAGCTGCTTCTCTGAGCCTCCAGGTGTGCCCTCACCTCAGGACCTTTGTACTTGCTGTCTTCCTGTCCGCAGCTGCACGGAACATTCTTCCATGAACTCTAGCGTCTGCTCAAAGATCTCAGTGAGATCTTTCCAGAGCACACTCGGGAACTGTAGCCCCTTCCCCATCACTGCATCCACGTCTCCACCTGCCCAGTTTTTCTCTATAGTACGTGTCACCCTCTGACACATGATCTGTTTTTTTTAATTTATCTCCTTTATTGTCGGTCTCCCCTACAGTAGACTGCAAGCAGCATGAGGGCAGGCTCTTTGTCCCCAGGACTGAGAGCAGTACTGGACACGTGGTGAGTGCTCAATAAAGGTGTGCTGGAAGAACGGACAGATGAATGATACTCCCCCGAGCGAATCAACCACCTACCATATTGTAGCGCTCCAGGAGCTCAGGCGTCACAGGGTAGCGCAGTCGCATCTTCCGGTAGAGCGCATGCTTCTCGTAGTAGCTGACGAGCTCCACGAGGCTCTCAAAGTAGGCAGAGGTCCCCAGCACAAAGTGCCGGCCATCCCGGTGGATGCGGCAATGCTTTACCTTGCCCCTGGCCCTGGAGGGGGGAGACCACACAGAGTTGGCAACCGAAATCCCAGAAACCAGACAGTTGTTCTACAAGCCCCACTAATTAGAAACCACCTAGCTCTCCATCCTGAGGGGACCAGATAAATGAACAAGGGACGGCCCTCCTGCGGAATACAGTGATGCGGGTCTTTTCAACACAGATACAGAAAAAGCTGTATCTTACAAGAAGTACGGAGTGACTCAACAGCTGGCTTCTCTTGTCTGCCCACTCCGCCCGCCCCCAGTTACAGGACGTGACTTTGGGAAGGTCCTGGTGTCCAGATCAGGTCAGCAAACAATGGCCCAAAGGCCAAATGTGGCCCCCACCTCCACCCCCTGCAGCCCCTGCCCTCGCTTTTGTAAATAAAGTTTTATTGAAACACAGCCACGTTCATCCACTTCCGTGTTGCCCGGGGCTGCTTTCACCCTACAGCGGCAGAGCTGAGTAGCTACAACAGAGGCCCCAGGGCTCGCCAGGCCTATGATATTTACCCTCTGGTCCTTTACAGGAAATGTTTGCTTATCTCTACTCCAGAACTCTGGGATTTGAGGCCCACATCCTTAAATCTTATCTTCAGTGGCCCAACTACTACAACCATGAATTTTTTTTTTTCTCCAAAAAGCAAACCAATCTTTATTGCCTCACCCTGCTGACATGAGAGGTGGGAAAACCCCCCCCCAAAAAACCCCACAATCTTCAGTCTTACTAGCTTTTATCAGCAAGAATAGAAACATTTTGGAAATTAAGCTTTGACCCTACCTTTATAGCCAAAAAGCATCTTTTTAAACTGTCTCAAGGCATAATTACTTTGGGTGAACTACTCATCTTTTAAAAACGTTAGAGGGGCGCCTGGGTGGATCAGTCAGTTAAGGTCGTGAGATGGAGCCCTGTGCTGGGCTCCTTTGCTGGGCATGGAGCCTGCTTGGGATTTTCTCTCTCTCTCCCTCCTCCTCTGCCCCCACCGCCAGGCCCCCCCTGCCGCCAAGCTTGTGCTCTGTCTCTCAAATACACAAATTTTGCACCATAAAGATACTTTTTGTTTTAAAAAACACATACTGTTAAGCCATTTCTTCAGTAAGTCCTGTAAAAAATGTGCTAAAAGATTTCTGCCTCAGTGGCTTATTTGCAGTGATATTTCATTAGTATTTCTTTAAAAAAAAAACAAAACTGCTGAGCAGACAAGTTGCAAGATAAAATATAGTATGATCTCATTTGTATTTTTTAAAATTGAACATTTAAAAAAAGGGAATCCCCACACACGAAATGGCACTGTATTTTCTATAGGTACATATACATGGAGGTCATTTTGGTTTTTTTTTTTTTTTTTTTTTTTTTGGTTTTTGGTTTGTTTGTTTGTTTTGGAGTCCACATGGAGACACCAGTTAGAAAACTGTGCTTTCTACCAGGACAAGGACCCAGATGGGAAGGGCCACAGGGGGTTTAGCTTTACTGCAATGTCTTAATTTTTTCTAAGAATATATTCACGTAACCAAGAAATTTTAAACTTTTTATAAAAGCTCCCTAGGGCAGGGAGGCTCTAGGGCATGGAGGTTAGTTAAGAGTGGGGGTCAGGTTCTGGTTCCTTCTGGTAACCTGACTGCACCTCTGTCTCCCTGTCCACAGTGCCGGGAATGGACAGTTCCTGTGTCATGGCAAGTGTTAACACCGCCATCTGACAGCCCAGGGTAAGCCCTCTGCAATGTGTCCGGCACCCCGAGGGTAACCCATACATGAATGGCTAGGAAAACAGAACCAAGGTCAAGCCAAAATGAGCTTCCCTGGCAAGAGAAGAATCAAGAAGGGAGACAGAACAGGGCTGAGCGTGAATTGCACCTTCCAGCCCCCTGGCTGCTACACGCCCGTGGACACTGTGACCTGAGGTCTTACTCAGCTCTGCCAAGAGGCCCCTGCTCCCATGTTCCACTGAGGTCCACTTTCCACTGATCACACCTAGACAGTAGCTTCATCTCTTTGCATAGACTTGAAAGCGGACATCTGTCCTCTCCTGTAGGTATCCATCCAGAAGTTCAGTCTGTGTTCTCAGAGCCTAGAACACCACCTGGCACAGGAGAGGTACTCCACAGATATTGGGGAGGGGGGGGACGAGGAAGGGAGGGAAAGTTCCTGCAGACCTGTGTTCTCCTTCTGCCCGGAGCAAATCCCCACCTGGTCCCCCTCTGTCACCTGCCTGACCACTCTCTGTGGTGCTTTCCACACAACATTACAGCGATGTGTTTATGTGCCTGACTCTCCTGCCCTGGGCAACACTTAGTGAGGGACAGTGACACACACCCCACACCTTGTCCACAGTGGGTTAGAAAAAGTCTGTGTGTCCAGGCCGGGGCAGGGGGAGGTCACCTTTTGACTATTACAGTGACTGCGCCCCCAACAGGCATGCAGTGGGTGGAGACCAGGGAGGTTCACCGTCCCAGTGGAAATAGCCTTCCCCTCCTCTCCTCCTAGAGACTCCAGGACCTCCTCACTGGCTGGTTCAGCCAGCAGGTCCTGACCACCTGCTGTTGGCAAGGCAACGCTAAGTAGGAGGGCGCCACTCCAGAGAAATACGCGAGTAACAGGACATTTCTTATTCTCATTCTCAGCCAACTGTTGGCCTCATGAGAGCAAAGACTGGGTGGTTTGTATCACTTCTGTGTTTTTGGAGCCCAGCACAGAGCCTGGCACGTAGTAGGTGCTCACTGAACATATACTGATCCCTAAAAATTAAAAACTCCAGCTTTTAGGGTACCACCAATCTCACGGGGAGGGCAGATGCGCAAACAGAATGGTGGATGTATAAAATCAAGCCTCCATCTGGGGATCCCATCTTCCTCCACATGGTTCCAGTGAAGTGATTCCAACCATGGCCGACTTGAAGGTCCCCAGTCAGAACTATGACGCCCAGCTCAGGCCGGGGCCAGGGGGAATGGATGTATCACAGGACTCATCTTTTCTACTAGACACTGGTTCCCAAGGTGAAGCCAATGCAGAGTAGCACCAAGACACACAGAACTAGTCTCCCGAGGATTGCCAGGTGAGACTTGGATCCAGGCCTGCTGGAAGCCAGCTTCACCTCTTGAGCGTCTCAGCAAGTAACCAATAAACGCCCTTTTTTGGCTGCTTGGCCACTGAGTTTGGTTTCTGTCACTCGCACCCCAAAGCACCCTGATTGACAGAACTGCAGCACAACTCAATCCCCAACACCCAACATGGTGGCTGTACAACAGATGTTCACTAAACATGCCCAATCCCATCTGGGTGGTGGAGGCGCCACCAGGAGCTTTGGGCCAAAGGGCAAGACGCCGATGCCAAGTAGCCCAGAGCCTCCCTGTTGGCAGCACAAAGCACAGAGGAGCCCCGGAGCCTGGAGCCGGCACACAGCAGGTGCTCGGTAAATGGCAACAATAATCACCATCACCACCACCACCCACTCACCCAAGAAGGCAGGAATGACGGGGAGAAGGCGGCAGCCTGGTAGGGTCACCAAGGGGGATGGGCCAGGGCAACAGCAATGGAAGGAACAGGAGCAGCCTGGGTGCACCAGGGCCCCTACGGTGCAGCCGGTCACCATCATCACCACATGCAAATGTGGGTCCAGAACTCCACCTCTTCTCACTTCTCCTAAGAAATCTAAATTTTCAAGTGAAATTCCCCAGTATTTAACATAACCATGCAGGCTGAGGCTCAGTTTAGCCCGTAAGCCTCTTCAGAACTCGCCATGAAGACAGCAGGCTTTGAACATGGGTAAGTCCAAGTCTACAATTCTGCCTCAGCCCAGGACTAGGCTGTGTGGCTCTAGACAGGTCGCTTAACCTCTCTGGGCCTCCATTACTTATAGCATCTCATCTACCCCCCTCATGGGCTGCAGTGAAGGACTCCGGCAGATGAAGCCGCAACATCAGCCCAGGGTCTGGAACGTTAGTTAGGAACTCAATACACTGGGGCAGGGGAGATGGAGGGGCAGTGTAATGAACTGGGTCTGAAACCACCCCCCAACACTGACACTGGTGGAAACCAGAGGAATCAGGGGTCTTGGGGTGGAATTAAAGTAGAGAACCACAGTCCTAGAGATGGTTGGTCCATACAGCCTTCCCACTGCCAAGGCCAGGTAGCAAGGGCAGAGGGGAGGAAAGCCGGTCCGTCACATCACTGCTCTGGGCTGCCGGGGCTGCCTGGGTCCAAATCCCAGCTCCACCGCTTACTGGCTGCACGTGTCAGCAAGTTACTCAACCTCTCTGTGCCTTGGTTTCCTCCCCTGAACAGTAAGGATCATGGTCGTAAAGTTGCTGGAAGACGGAATGAGTCCACAGAACAGGCACTACTCTCAAGGACACAGACCCGGGCCCCACACCCTGACAGCTCCCATTAGCGGCCCTTGCTCCCCACACCTGTCCTTCCCAGGCCTCCTCTGCCGAGCGAGAGCCGGCCCCCACCCGCCCGCTCACCTGAAGGTGATGGCGTAGGAGTCGGTGCCCTCCCGCCTCCGGATCAGGAAGGCGCCGTCCCGGGGCACCCTCATTAGCATGTCCTCTGCTTCCCCGCGGCTGAGCCCGTCGTAGTACCACCTGCGGCACGGGGAAACGGCCACGTGAGAGCGCCACCCACCGAGCGGGTGGCACTGGGCTCCGAGGATACCTGGAGTATGGCCCCAGAAACCACCACGGAACTTACACCGTGGGCTCCCCCACCCAAAAACGCCGCCAAAGACAGCAATTTTTTTTAGGAGACCACCAAGATGTAGCCCGGGTAAAACATTCCTATGGTAGGTCCGCTTGGAGCGCGAGAGAATAAATTTAACTGTGTCCTCCCGCCCCATCAGCCTGACTCGGGGCCAGCATCCATCACTGCAGAGAACAGAAAATCGGAGGCCGAGAACACAGGGAACAGAGTTTTAGAAAGGTCTTTTGGTTTGGCTGGTCTTTGGTTACTTTCAAAGATATGAAATAGCGAATTTTAAAAGGCAATCTATATGAATGTAGACAAAAGTGAGAAAGCTGCCACAAGTTACAGGGACTCTCAGTAAGGTACATTTTAGCAGGCTTCAGCTTAAAAAGAGCTCCCCCCCCAACTTACTTCCAGAATTGGTTAACCCTTTGCAAGGCATAACGAATATTCATTTCACTGGATAAGAAATGAAGGGGAAATGTGTACAATTACTTTCCTTCTTGTTCACTTTCACAGTGAAAAGGAATGAGCTTTGACAAGCAGAATGATATCACCCGGCCAAAATTCACCTCCGAAAATCAGAGCCCGAGAGCTCAGGACTGTGAAGGTAAAGGAGAAGAAGGGCAGGGAGAGGCCGAGGGAAAGAGAAAGTAGGGGGAGTAGGTGTTTGGAAACTGGGGCCATCCTGGGGAATTTAAGAGATCCCAGGGGACCTGGGTGAGGGGCCTCGTGGGAAGCTAGGCCCCAGCACACCCACAAGACTGGCTTTTCTGACTGGGAAACCCAATCCACCTGGGCGTCTGCACCCACTAAACCTGGCGCTTGAGGTCTGCTGCCCCGGGAGCACAGGCACACATACGGCTTTGACTCGTGGGGGTTGGGGTTGGGCACGGGGTCGGTGAGCCGAAGCTCGAACTCCGTGCAGCGCAGGTGCGTCTCGCGGTAGTGCTGGATGAGGGCATAGATGCTGGTGAACATGATGTTGTCAGTCAGGAAGTACTTCATGGTCCCACCCTCCATGGTGGAACGGATCCGGCAGTGCTGGACCCGGCCAGACCGCCTGTCGGGAGAGGGACAGCATTAGCACCGAGGCTGGGCCCACCGGCCCTGCCTGTACCCAGGGTGTCAGAGAACGTGGCGAGGGAGGGAAGGGGGGGTGGCCAGAACTGTGGCCAGGGGCACTGACGGGGAGGCACTACATGCGGCCACACAGGCCTCCCTCTGCTCTTAGAACAGGCTTGGGCTTTAGCGCAGGCTGGTCCTTTAGCCTGGATTCCAGAACATTCTACCTACTTCGTCCACCTACTTTTACCTACATAACTCCTAACTCTGGAGCCAGATAGCCTAGGCGTAAATACTGACTCAGCCACTTATGTGCTAAGTGACCTTGAACAAGTGACTTGTCCTCTCTGAGCCTCCACATCATCATCCTGTGGTCTGTCCTCGCTGAGCTGTCCTGAGGACTGAACAAGGTCACACACAAAATGTGCCTAGAATGCTGCCTGGCACATGGGAAGCATCTTGTAGGTGTAAGCTGTCACTATTATAGGTATGTTGTTATAATGGGTCTCCAAGGAAACACCACTTCTTGCAGGAAGTCTTCCCTGACCACTCCCGCCCCGAACATTACATCAAGCCCTGCTTCTACGGACTTTTGTAACATTTAGCATTTTTTGCATTGCACGTATCACAACTACAATTATAGAGAATCCATTCCTTTTTCATTGTCTATTTCCCTGACCAGACTCTAATCTCCATCAGGACAGGGATCCTGTCTGTCTTACCGCAGTGCCCAGAACAGAGCAATCACTCAATGAATACCCTTTAGTGAATGAAGGTACTAATGAGTGAGTGAGAAAGCTCACAACAGCTCCGTAAAGCCGCCTTTAGAATCTCTATTTTAGGGACAAGGAAACAGAGATTGCAGGAGGTTGAGTGACTTACCCAGGGGCACCCCACCTGCTCTAGAGCCAGGACTGGAGGGTCGGGGGTGTGTGAATGAGGCCACATTGTCCTTAGTGCAGGGTCAGATCCTGCCATTACTTAAAATGTTGATGATACTGTGTTCATCACGGATTTTTCATTACTTCTGATTTTTAAAAAAATACTGCATTGAAATACCACGAATCTTGATCGCTAAGTGTCCCGGCCCTCACCTGCCTCAGCCCACCCCTGCCCCGCACGGATTCCTAAATGAAGCTTGGGGTTGTGGGCTAGGCCTGAGCTCGCACAACTCGCCGCATGCTCCCCCCCGCCTCCCCCCGCCACCGCCCTGGCCAGCCGCGAGGGGAAGGCAGCATGCCCCTACCAGAAGGACAGGGTGTAGTCATTGGGGAAGGTCTTGCTCTCCCGCACCAGGAAGGTCCCGTCCTTGCCCCCCGTCTCCGCACAGTACTCCTGCAGCAGCTTCTCGGCACTTGTCCTCTTTTCTACCTTCTTGTGGAACCACTCCTCCCCAAAATGCAGCTCTGTCGGGGGCGTATCCTGGGCCACAAAGAGAGGAGTTTCTGAAAACCTGGCGCGGGGCTGGAGAGCAGACAGGCTGGCTTCGGCTTGCCCTCACCCCAAGAAGTCTGGGAAGACGGCTTCCACTGCCCTCCCTTGCCTGCCACCCTGGGTGGTGGCCTCCTGGAGTCCTAAGACATGGGCCAAGGGGTCCCCGGTACAGGTTTCGACTCTACTGTATAAGGAGTCTGAGAGCGATAATGCCCAGGGGGCTGTACTCAAGAAAAAGCACCAAGGATGGCCAGGAGCTGGAGGGGAGAGGGCAGGAAAGCTGGGAATGTGGCTGGAGGTGGGGCTGGACAGAGCATCCAAAGGTCCTCCCCTCCCACTCGGAGCACAGACCCATCAGGCCCTTCAGGGAGCAGCAAAGAACCACTGGAATCTCATTGGTTGCCCAGCCAGCCAATCAGAAAAGAGCCAGGCAGACCTGGGTACCAAAGAGGCAGCTCCTTGGGCTGAGGATGTCGGGGCCTGGGGGCCATGGAGCAAGGACAGGTTGGAGGCTGTGTCCCCTACCTGGGGCAGCTCCTCTTCTGCAGTCTGTTCAATATCGTCACTGAATGACAGCTTGGCACTGGCAATGGCACAGTAGTGCCGAGTCCATTTCTAGAAAGGGAAACCAGCATTAGCTCTCCCCTCCGTCTCTGCCCCATCAACTCTGGGGCCCCGCCCGGCATGACCCCAGGATTTAAGAGGGATGAACCTTTCCTGCTTTTCATGGACATTTATGGTGGTTTCATGGAATTCCATCCCCTTCAAGACGTTTCTTTTAAAACATCTGTTTTTGGGTTCTTTTGGCATTTTCAGGACTTTTTTAATTCACGGTGTCTAAGGGTTGATACAACTTAGTATCAAATTTCTAGTTCATGTTTATTTAATGTGAAGCCTTTTATGAAAGACGGGATTGTTTTTTGGGTCTCGTGACTGTCTTTTTGTATTACCTCCACTTTTTATGACTTTCAAGATTTCTCAGCCAGTCTGTCTAGCGACTCTTCAACATCTGTGACTTAATCCTTTATTTAAACATTAACAATTTTTATATTCCTAGGATGTAAGGACAGACATATCAAAATATATGCAAATGGATTTGTATGTTAGGTTAAGAGACGTGAGAAGTGGCATTAGCATTCAAAATGCATTCCTCTCACCAAAATAAGGGTTCTGCAGGAACTGTGCCAGATTGAAGGGTACTAAGGAGTTAGGACAACCAAATACACTGTCACATCCTGGATTGCACCTTGGACCAAAAAAAGGACATCAGGAGACCAACTGGTAAAACTGAAATAAGGTCCACGAATTAATTAGTGGTATTGCACCAATGTTCATTTCCTGCTTCCAATAATTATACTCTGGTTATGGAGGACGTTAGTATTTGGGGAAGCTGACTGAAGAGCATGTAAAAATTCTTTGCGTTTGCGCATGTAAATGCATAGTGTATTATGTGAAATATAAAGTAATTTCAAAGTAAAACATTAATAATGCAAAACAAAGGTCAAAATGGGAGTAAGAGAGGAACATTCTCAGAGTTCTCTAGTAGGCCTCAGATGCACTCAAGGCTCTGAGAAGGGGTGCAAGGAGCCCCACCTGGTCGATGGAGTCCCACATGTACAGTTCACCCTGTTGCTTGTGCTCATCTTTCTTGTCCTCCATGTCGACATCCACGTCGCCTCGGGGGCCCAGCTTCTTATGCTGAGGGGAAAAAACACACATAGCCTGTCTCCTTCAAGACCCAAGTTTAGGATCTTTGAGCCAGCAAGCACTCATCCACATGAGCCAGCCAGCCAGCATCTATCTGTCGCATCCACCTCAGGGCCTTTGCACTGCCTGTTCTCTCCGCCTGGTTTCTCTCTCACTACATTCAGCTCTCTGCTCAGTGTCACCTCCTCAGATGACCTTTCCCTGACTACTTGATCTAAAAATAGCCTCCACTCCCCTTTCCACCCCTGTCACTCTGGCCCCTGGGAGTTATTTTCCATACTCTTGGCCCTTTGTGTATCTGTGTGTCTATCTGTATTCTGGCTTCCCTGCCAAAAAATATAAGCCCCACCAGGGCAGGACTTCGTGCTGTCCCCTGTTGAATCTCCTGTGGCAGTTCAGCAAATAGTAAGTGCTCAATAAACATTCAGTGTATCAGCAATACCACCTGCATGCCCCACATTCTCTGGCACACACAGGGAAAGGCAGGAACAGCCTGTCCGGGAGCCCAGACTGCAGGGCAGTGGGCTACATACCGGGGATGCATAATTAAGCTGCTTTATCAGCTGTGTGACCCTAGGCAGGAGGCTGCACTTCTCTGGGCCCCACAGTTCTCACCAGGGAGACTGAGACAGTGACTACAACAACCTACATCCAGGTGGGTACTGACACCCACGCAGGCCAGCATTTGTAAACCCTTGATTCCGGTGGCCCGGTGGAGGGAGCTGAGGATTGGGAGTCTGTCCAGGGCTCGAATGTGGGGCCTTACTATAGCTGTGTGACAACTAGTTTCAGTCTCAGTCATTTCCTCCATGAAATGGGGTTAACGACAGCCCCTGCTGGGTCCTGTCAGCTAAGGGGCATGAAAGACACCTGTCAACACCGAGGCGTGATGTGTTTCATTTTAAACGGCCCTGAATTACTTCTTGGGCAAGAACTAACCACAACCTCAGCTAAGCGACCTTCTAGACCTCAAGGTCCCCATCTGGAAAGTGGGCCCGGGGCCTGGGATTTGCCACCTCTCAGGGCTGTAGGAGACTGGGCAGTATTTAGTGTCATGCCTAGCCAGGCTCACAAACGCTATTCCTGCCCTCTTCCCTGAAACAGGAGGGAGCCAAGAAGTACCAGCAGGAGGCAATGGGTGCTCTGACCGGGGCTGTCACTACGTCACACCCTAAAACAAGAGCCAGAAAACCTCTGGGGACACACAGAGAACAGTCAAGAAAGCAAAGCTACAGAGACATGCAGACTCACTGACCTAATGCCTGAGAAGCTGTAGACCCTCCCGAGCCGAGCTCCTTTGGCCTCTAGTCCACCTTCCCCAGGTTGGAAGTTTCCCTTGGTGTCTCAGGGAAAAGTGCCCCAGGGTCTTAGCCTAATCCTGTAGATATGCTGGTGCTTTTACCCTGAAGGCACCAACACCCCGTCCTCTGGATGAACCTCTGAGAAAGCTCCCTCACACCATTTGACACGTCTCTGTTGACAGGTCTGTCTCCCCACTAGACCATGACTTCCTGGCACACAGGGATTATACCCAGTGCCTCTTGATGGCCCAGTGACAATCTAGGGAATGTGCCCCGCGTTCATACCACCACACGTTTGTGGATGTTATTCCCCCAACCTGAGAGCACTGCCCCCTCTCTGCCTAATAAACATCTGTCCACTCTTCCACATGAACCTGCTACTTGTCAACAAAATCCATCCCACTGCTTCTACCAACGGCCACCCAGCTGGAGACTTCACGTCCAGCCCCCTTTGTGGGAGGTGTGGTCATGTGACAGTTCTCACACACAGGACAGCACAGGCTGGGAAATACCAACCTGCATCCTGCTTATTTGCCAGAAATTGCGGACCTTGGACACACTCACGTTGCCCTTTCCATGGGCTGGAGCTCAGGTGAGCCTACAACTCAACATCAACCCCACACACGGGGACAATGCCCCAGGGCAGACCCTCCACCCAGTTTCTGTGCCAGGGACCTCCTTCAAAGTTGGGGAAGATGATGGGCCCCTTTCTCAGAACAACACTGATAATGCATAGAATAAGAGAAACTATACTGAAATACAGTTATTAACATATCAAATATTTATAATATAAACAGATGTCCTTCCTTATTAACTTTTTATACAAGATCTAGAGTCAAATCTATTAACTACCATAATTTCAAAGTAGTGATGAGGACAAGATCATTTTGAGATATTTGTAGTAACTGTAAACATGATATGAAAATATCCATGATTTCCACTGGTGACAAAGCCCCAAGTGGCTTGTTGCCAATATTCACAATGGAAGGAAATGTTAAGTTTTACTTACAGGTTGATCAAAGTAAAGAGGCAACATTTTCCCCCAAAGTTCACATGCTACCATACCCCAGATTCTAACTGTGGATTCTCTGGAGGGGTCTACAGAACCCCAGCTGAAAATCCTTTCCCTAGGAGACTGTAGAACAAGATAAGAGGGTGCTGGTTCCCTTGATAGCCTTGTGGACCAGAGCTCAAACCTTCTAGAACACTCTCCCTCAGCCAAAGAAGAAATGACCTCTCCTATGCTTTAAGCCACTATATATCTGGTCTCTCTTAGTAATACAGATCCCCTCTCCCCGGTGTCCCTGGCACTCTCGGGCACGGCTGATCCTTCATCCCTCCCCACAGCACTTGGCAAGCCACCCCCTTCGTCCATTAGCACAAGCAGCCTTTTGGGGCAACTGTCTCCCTCCAGTCCATGTCTATCTCATACACTGGACTGGGACACAGAGGCACCCAGAGGTGAAATGACCCTGCCCAGCGTCGCTGAGGGAGTTAGCAAGGAGAGCTGGTGTGAGTCCAGGCGGTGGGACCAGGAGCCTGGGCTCTGAGCCACCTGGTCTCCTGAGTGACAGGCCACCCAGGGCCACCTACCTTGATGATGATCTTCTCCCGCAGCTGGCTGGGTGAGGGCAGCTGGTCCGCGCTGGCCTCCGTGGGCTTCGTCAGCAGCTGGTCGCCAAACACCTCCTTGAACACCCTGGCCATGTGGCGCTGCTGCTCCACGCAACAGTGCTCCTCGATGGACAGGATCACGGGGAAGCTGTGTGCGGGCAGAGCCAGCTCAGCTCAGCAGGGGGCGGGGACCGGGAACCAGAGGTCACTGGTTTCCCAGAGCCAGCCTCCTCCCCACGCCAGGACCAGGGAGGGACTTGCACTTTTGGCCTGTAGGGGGCGCCAACGCTCAGCTGAAGATTTGTTGGGCGCAACCCAAGGATGGAGGCGGGGCAGAGAGTGAGAGTGAGTGAGTGAGTGAGTGTGTGAGTGTGTGTGTGTGTGTGTGTGTGTGTGTGTGTGTGTGTGTGTGTGTGAGAGAGAGAGAGAGAGAGAGAGAGAGAGAGACTGTGTGACTGTGTGTGAGACTGCATATGACTGTGTGTGTGAGAGACTGTGTGTGACTGTGTGTGTGACTGTATGACTGTGCAAGAGACTGTATGTGACTGTGTGAGACTGTATGACTATGACTGTGTGTGTGTGTGTGTGTGTGTGACTGTGTGTGAGAGACTGAGACTGTGTGACTGTGTGTGACAGTGACTGTGCGTGTGAGACTGTATGTGACTGTGACTGTATGTG